CCCGGCCCAGACGTTTGCCAACTGGGTGGACGAAAAATTCCGCCCATGGATTTCCAAGACTCCAAGCACGTTCGTTCGTTCGTTCGTTCGTAATAATAATAACCTCACTGCTTGATGCTGTCTAAATAAGAAAAAGCTCGCCTCTCAATATGGAGAACAGCTGAGCTTTCCATGATCCTATTTTAATCACCACCACCGCGGTCTACCCCCAAACTTGAGCACAGAAAGCGCACAGCTTCGTCTCTCAAAGTTTCAATATCAAACAACCTACGTTTTTAAATCTTCCTATCAATATCAAGCCCTCTGGGCTAAAACTTTATAAGAGCGCCTGGCACCACCTGAAAAGGAAGCTGGAACATGGCCGACGCCGCGCAGGGCGGTGCAGGTGCAGGTAGTGGGAGATATGATCACATGGGTCCCCATTTCGACTTCGAGCTCTATAGATACATCCCATCGCTTCCCGCCGCCATCATCAGCGTTGTTGTTTTCGGATTTTTAACAGCCGCTCATACCTGGCGATTGCTGCGTGCGCGGGCTTTCTACTTCACAGCCTTTACCGTCGGCGGTCTATGTGAGTCCTATCCTCTTAGAAAATGCCATTGAAAAGAGGTAAAAACAAAACCTACCTGTGAAGATATGTAGTAATAAAGAATTTATTTCCCTCAAGTTGAAACAATCGGCTACTGTGGAAGAATCTGGGGCCATTATGACAAGTTCTCCCTCGGCGGCTTCATCATCCAGGCCATTCTCATCCTCGTTGCGCCCGCTCTATTCGCAGCCTCCATCTACATGATCCTCGGTCGCCTAATCCGGACCCTACGCGCCGAACACCTCTCCCTCATCCCCGTGCAATGGGTCACCAAGATCTTCGTCACGGGCGACGTGTTCTCCTTCAGCCTACAGGCCGCCGGCGGCGGCATCCAGGGCGGCAGGAGTCTGAAGCTGTTCGAGCTAGGGGAGAAGATCATCGTGGCCGGCCTGTTCACGCAGATTTCCATCTTCGGCTTCTTCGTGGTCACGACCGTCCTGTTTCACCTCCGGGTCGCCAACGCGCCGACCCCCACCGCGACGCACGGCGTGATCCCGTGGAAACGGCACGTTTTCGCCCTCTATGCCTCCAGCACCATCATCTTGGTCCGGAGTATCTTTCGCGTCGTTGAGTACCTGCAGGGCAACGGCGGCTATCTCATCTCCCACGAGGTGTTCTTGTATATCTTTGACATGGTTCTTATGGTGGTCGTTATGAGCATATTTCTCTTTTGGTATATCGATGACCTGGAATCGAAATGGGGGCATGATAAGCCGGAGGAATCGGAGGAACGGGTCGAATCGCAGGATGGCATGCTCGAGGAATTACGTCCACGTACTTAGAACGCATGTTTTAAACGTATATTTTTTGTGTTTCGATTATCTTTGGCGAGGCCTGGCCTGCCCAGCCCGTAGTAACTGGCATGGCATTGAGGGTTGGCACCAAAATACTCTTTTTCAGGGGCCAGCCAGTGGTGGGGTTGGAAGGAATTCGAGTTCTCCCCCCTTTTTACCACCAATTCCAATTCATTTGGATGTACAGGTACATAGATCATATAGAGATTTAAACTTAAGCATTTTGTATTGTATATTGAGCATTCGGAGTAATGCATACCCAGGCGGCTGTTCGATGTCTCAGAGTTTGCACCCATTCACCGCGTTCCAAGCTCCATCTATCCTCCTTCGGGGCTGATCATTTCTGTATTTCTAGGCCAGGCGCGTCAAAGCGTCAAATCAGGGGATGAGGGTTCATTCATCTCTATTTTATTGCTGTACACGGTGAGCTACTCACGCAGCGTGGGATGTTCCTCGGCCTAGAGAGTAGTCAAATATTTTGATACGGGACAATATGTTGATTACCGTCGGTCTTCCCAAAGATGTAGCACCAGCATGCATAATTCAGCAGTGACCTATATCCAGCGTCCGTATCCCCCTCACAGTACGCTCTGAAAGATCTCCAATAAATCCATCAATCCAAAAACCCCCCTGATTAGCCTTCAAACACGCAGCCAATCTCCTCTGCCAGCCAAGTAGTCCACAACTTATGCTCCTCGTCGAGAATTTTATACGCTTTACGTATGAGCCGTTCGCTCCACCCCTGCATCCACCAATGAATCTCCAGCCGCTTAAGAAAGACACAAAAGTACGAGAATGTCGCCACGGACTCCTGGGTCGGCACCTTCAGGAGGGGCAGGAACTCATCGAGGACCAGATAGATCCACGTAAACGCATGCGTGATGTCGACCAGCTGCGACGCATCGGTGAACGATTCCGCTAGCTTCAGCAGCTCGTCGATGGCGTGCGCGTATATGTCACGCGCCTGCTCGTCGCTGACGGTGGTGCGGACCGGCGCCGCCAGCTCGTCCAGTGGGACCTTCATTGGCGTGTCGGCGCCATGGGGCATGTCTTTCGTCCATCGCCGGGAGCGTTTCGCCTGCGCGAACATTGGGCTCAGCGCGCCCTCCATCAGCTCTGGGCCTAGTACTTCTAGAAGAGATTTTGTCCCGCGGAGGAGGAAGAGCCACTCGGGGAAGCTGCTGTCTTCGAAGAAGAAGGTGTCGCCGGACGAACCTTCTGGACCGCCTAGGGCTGGGTGGGGGGGGGGGGGGGTGTCAGTCGCTGGTGCTGTTGATTTTGATATATATGTACAAGTACATGTACAGTACATATAAAAGTAGAATACGAACCGAAAAATATAGTCAAGACAGAGAAAACAAACAGATTATTTATTCGCGTCCTCCTTTTTGATATTCGTCATTAGATTCATTGCCTCCCTCGCGGCAATGCGATGATACGTTAGCGCGGTAGAAGTATATATCTCCTTGCGATCGCGTGAGTGATGCGCAAGATGCAACGCCGAGACCGCGAGGACGGTTCGCATCACATAGTCGCATCCGCATGCCATTTGGACAACGGGGGCCCTTCTAGAAGTTCCGTATGGGCGGATGGTAGGAGAGAGTGGCGTATATGGACGTTGAGAAATGGTGCATGAGTTGCAGGTCCAGCATGTTCAGCGCAGAGACGCCTGTGTTATCTGTGAGATAGTTGGGATACACGCCTGACTCGGCTAGGAAATCGCAGTCAGCGCCGCGTTTGAGACAGTTGCGGCATGATGGGCGTTGCTCATCGCACTAGATATGTCACGTCTTGTTAGCCGCGTGAGAATTAACTGACGGGCTAAAAGAGGGAAAGAGAACGCCACTAAGTGAGGAGAGAGCAGATAGAAACAAAAATCAAAGATAGAAAGCAATTGCTCTCTCCGTTAACGAGTAGGACTGCATGATTCTCAGCATAAATGATTTCGCTGGGGAGATGCAACCGCTCAACTTCACGCACTTGCCTTCACTTTCCTCTTCTTACATGTCTTACACCCAGTCCTCGACTTAAGATGCGAGCGCCTGGGCATCGCCTATTGTCTCTTGCGGCGATCTGCCGGGGGTGTTTCTAGTAATGGCGAACTAAGAACAGGCTGTGAAAGGTGACCGGTTGGACATGTCCTGCTATTTGTCGTTGAGAGTGTCCAGAACTTCTGCTTGCCAACAATGTAAAAGTTCAAGTTCAAAGCTGACTCGTCAAAACTAGGGCTTGGATTGCTCCTCTGGGGCGGAATGGAATGGGATTGGCGGAAGCCAAGATATTCCGCCGATTGACGGCCTTGGCGGCCGTTCATCAATGAGCGGCGGAAGGTCAGATCAGGGCATTTTTGGCTCAGTGCTCCGCTGGGTATAAATCTGAGCTAGCTCCTTCGTAGCGAACAGGGAGCTTGATGAACTACTGAACTACTACAGGTTTCAGGACAAATGTTGGTTTAAGAATATATTCCGTAGAGACAAAAGAGGCGATGATATTGATTTTTACAAAGTCACTTTTATACAGTGGTGATTACATCGCCATGGAGAAAAGCAAAGCGCTGTTGGTATTAAATTGAGTTATTTATGTGGAATCTAATTCACCTACGTGCTGCATCTAATAAATAACATAGGAAAATGTAAAAGAAAAGAAAAAAAAATACCACACTCGTCGCCACCGCCGAGCAAGCCGATAATCAAGTGGCCATTGATCGGGGCTATGACGCTCTGGAACAGCCATCCTTGCGAAAGCCGATAAACCTGGATATTTTATCGTTGGCAGCCAGAAACCCACGAAATTCTCGATTATGAGTCCAATTCCTCGTTCACTCTCACTTTGCTATTGTAACTACCAAATAAACCATAAACCATTTGCAATTGACTTTCTATTCATATAATTACTTTGCAGCTTACAGCTCACAGCCGTAGGACCCGCCGAAAGCTTAAAAAGTAACAGTGACGACAGTCATTCCTCTACTTTCGCTACCCAGCTGAGGACAAGAGCAAAACCTCCCGTCAAATGGCGCTCAAGCAAGGACTTGACAATGCCGTTGCGGCCGCAGTGGCCAGTGAGACGGCTCCAGATGGTACAGGTCAGTCAAGATTTCATCCACGTTTGCAGACCTATGTACAGTACTTGTTGAAGCAAACGTCCTATCGCGATAAAGTGGTTCTTCCTAGCTCAGGATTCCCAAGCTGATGCCAAAGGCCGCATGATGTGTATTGGTGCAACGATGATTATATAGGAGTTATCAAGCTAGATCCATGGCTAGAGCCGTTCAAGGATGCGCTACGGAGTAGATTCAGCCATACGAACCAGTGGATACGGACTATCAATGAGACGGAGGGCGGGTTGGAAGTCTTCAGTCGGGTGTGTTGCTTCACCTGCCCCTGGAATACCCCGCACTACGATTCAACGCTTCAGATCGTACTGATGGTTCTATGAATATTGATTGCAGGGTTACGAGAAATTCGGCTTCAATGTCAAGGAAAATGGAGATATTGTTTACCGGGAATGGGCGCCCAATGTCGTGGATGCGCATCTCATTGGCGATTTCAGTGAGTGGGAACTTCATGCTGGTGGGAGATTGGGGTTGGTATTCTAGCTGGCTAGAGAGCTAATGGAGGGGTGAACGCCGTGCTCCAGACAACTGGGATCGCAAGGCGACACCGATGAAAAAGAATGACTTTGGGGTTTGGGAGGTTACAGTACCCGCAAAGGATGGGGTCCCGACCATTCCACATAGCAGCAAGGTCAAGGTGAGCTGCTCTGACTATTCTCCTCTCTCCCCGCCATCCCCGAAGCAATTCTATACAGAGAGATACTAAATAACATCCTCGAAACCGTGAAATATATGAACAGATAACCATGACTACTCCATCCGGCGAACAAATCGACCGTTTCCCAACCTGGATCAAGCGCGTCACGCAAAACCTCTCCCTCTCCCCTGAATTCCACGCCGTATTCTGGAACCCACCAGTGCAGGACCGTTATACTTTCGAACACCCGCGCCCGCCTAAACCCGTCAGCCTCCGCATCTACGAAGCCCACGTCGGCATCTCCTCCCCGGAGACCCGCGTGGCTACCTACAAAGAGTTCACAAAGAACATGCTCCCGCGCATCCACGGTTTAGGGTACAATGCCATCCAACTCATGGCCATCATGGAGCATGCATACTACGCCAGCTTCGGGTATCAGGTCAACAACTTCTTCGCCGCCAGTAGCCGCTACGGAACGCCGGAGGAGCTGAAAGAGCTCATTGACACGGCGCATGGATTAGGACTGGTGGTGTTGTTGGATGTGGTGCATAGCCATGCGTCGAAGAATGTGTTGGACGGGCTGAATATGTTTGACGGGACGGATGGTTTGTATTTCCATGCGGGCCCCAAGGGGCATCATGAGTTGTGGGATAGTCGGTTGTTTAATTATGGGAATCATGAGGTGTTGAGGTTTTTGTTGAGTAATTTGCGGTTCTGGATGGAGGAGTATTGCTTTGACGGATTTCGGTTTGATGGGGTTACGAGTATGATGTATACGCATCATGGAATTGGGACGTAAGTTTTTATCTTTTTCCATTTTGAGATTGTGTACTTTGTGTACTTTGTGGTGGTACTAACAATTTCGCAGCGGATTCTCCGGTGGCTATCACGAATATTTCGGCCCCAGCGTCGATGAAGATGGCATCACCTACCTTATGCTCGCCAATGAAATGCTCCACCAGATCTACCCGAACTGCATCACAGTCGCAGAGGACGTTTCTGGAATGCCAGCGCTCTGTCTACCACTTACCCTTGGCGGGGCAGGCTTTGATTATCGTCTCGCCATGGCAATTCCGGATATGTATATTAAGCTCCTCAAGGAGCAACAGGACGAGGAATGGAACATGGGCCATATTGCCTTCACCCTCACCAATCGACGCCATGGTGAGAAGACGATCGCTTACGCCGAGAGCCATGACCAAGCGTACGTCCTTTCCCCTGACATTCCCCCAAGAACACACACAAAATTAATCTAATCCTGATAAACTGATTGATATGTATAGTCTCGTCGGCGACAAATCGCTCATGATGTGGCTCTGCGACAAAGAACTCTACACCAACATGTCCATTCTAACGGAACTAACCCCCGTCATCGCGCGCGGGCTCAGCCTGCACAAGATGATTCGGCTGCTAACGCACGGCCTCGGGGGCGAAGGATACCTGAACTTCGAGGGGAACGAATTCGGACACCCGGAATGGCTCGATTTCCCCCGCGCCGGCAACGATAACAGCTACTGGTACGCGCGCCGGCAGCTAAATCTCACGGAGGACCCGCTGCTGCGCTACAAGTTCCTGAACGACTTCGACCGGGCGATGCAGGTTGCTGAAGAGAAATATGGCTGGCTGCACGCGACGCAGGGATATGTGAGCCAGAAGCATGAGGAGAATAAGGTGATTGTGTTTGAGCGCGCGGGGCTCGTGTGGGTGTTTAATTTCCATGCGACGAAGAGCTGGGCGGACTATAAGGTTGGGGTGGGGAGGAAAGGGGGAACGTATAGGATTGTGCTGGATACGGATGCGGAGAAGTTTGGGGGGTTTGGAAGGGTTGAGGCGGGGACGAGGTTTTTTACTAGGGGGGAAGGGTGGGATGGGAGGGAGGATAGTTTGATGGTTTATGTGCCGACGAGGACGGCATTGGTAGGTTTAAGCCTTTTTATTCCAAGGTTCTCATTCTGTGTTATGGATATTCTGATGTGCTGACATGGGTTATAGGTTCTCGCGCTCGAGGAGGATACCTAGAATGGAGCAGTTATGTGCGTATGAAGTAATAAAGTTAGAGGAACTGGTTCGACTTGTAGTTAGTTAATTGAAATGGCAAATTCATCCCTGGACCGTATATCTGGTAACTAAATGGGAATTGTTCATTTTTATATAACTCTTTGAGTGTATCTAAAATGCAACCAAGAATCGATATTGGTTTCAGTTCTTCCGGCTTTTGGTGGTGGTGGATCCAGCGCTGCTTTAGGGGGTAATTTAACGGTAATCTATGTAATATTTGTTCGTGCGCTGCGTATGCGGCTATTCGAGCATCTGGGTGTATGAGACTGTAATATGGCGTACTATTACAATCCTATACAGCATCCTCGGCCGTGCGACTTGCGACTTGCTGCCACCCCAGGCCGCCAGGTGGTATTAGATACCTGTCAATACGCATACGGGCACCCGGCCCCATCCGACGCCTAACCCTTTTGCGTGCATTCCGCGCTTAGCCCTTTTCAGAATCTTCCACACCAAACGAAACGGGGAACAACTTCTTCCAACCTTCATTCAACCTCTGCCTTTCCTCCTCGCTTTTCTCCCGCCCATTCCTCCTCGCCCTCCACTCCTCCCCATCCACCACTTCCATCATGTTCAAGAGGTGAGACCGCTGAATCTCCTCTCCTCGTCTGCCTCCCTGGCATCCGTCAATGCTAACCGTCAATTGTGCGCAGCGGTGTTGCCCGGACCTTCGCCAGGTCTGCTGCCTTCGCGCGGCCTTCCACCTCCCTCCCAACCTCCAGACTCGCACAACCCTTCAAGAACCCGGCCCTGCGCTCCCTGGCGGCTAGATATGCGTCCACCAGCGCCGCTCAGCCTGGCAAGATCCATCAGGTCATTGGTGCCGTTGTCGACGGTATGCTTTTTTTTTTTTTTTTCCCTTTGTTATTGTTATTGCTGTTGTTTTGGTGGAGATATGGAGAACTTGCTTCTTCGCCCTTTTCCCCCCTCACGCCCACGACAACACATAACCCATTCAATGAGCCCTTCAATGTCAATATCCATCTCAGAAACGATACTCCTCATCGTCTATGAGGGTCAATGGTTTTTGGCTTGGGTATTTGTCTCGCAATGGCTGAAAAGCCATCGAATTGGGCTGAACCGATGCTGACGAATTGATGTCACTGATTGTAGTAAAATTCGATGGTGAACAACTTCCTTCCATTCTCAATGCTTTGGAGACTACCAATGGCGGCCAAAAGCTCGTCCTCGAGGTTGCGGTATGTTTTGTTTAGTTTTCTTTTAGTTCTTTTCTCGATTCCACCTTTCTGTTGCCATTATATTCTTATGCTAATAACGTTATACAGCAACATTTGGGTGAAAATGTTGTCCGAACAATTGCTATGGACGGTAGGTTTTTCCCTTCAGCCCTTAACATCCACATCAAGACACATGCAACGGTCTAACTCGTGGATCCAGGTACCGAGGGTCTCGTCCGTGGTGCCACTGTCACCGATACTGGTGCTCCCATTATGATTCCCGTCGGCCCGGGCACCCTTGGCCGTATCATGAACGTCACTGGTGATCCCATTGACGAGAGAGGACCCATCAAGGGCACCAAGATGGCCCCCATTCACGCTGAAGCCCCAGCCTACGTTGAGCAGGCCACCTCCGCTGAGATTCTCGTCACCGGTATTAAGGTCGTCGATCTCCTCGCTCCTTACGCTCGTGGTGGAAAGATTGGTCTCTTCGGAGGTGCCGGTGTCGGAAAGACTGTCTTCATTCAGGAGTTGATTGTACGTCCCTTCCTCTCTACAAATGACGGGCGAGGAAAATTTTTGGCTTTTTCTAATAGCTCGTTATAGAACAACATTGCCAAAGCCCACGGTGGTTACTCCGTTTTCACTGGTGTCGGCGAGCGGACCCGTGAAGGAAACGATTTGTACCACGAGATGCAGGAAACCCGTGTTATCCAGCTCGATGGCGAGTCCAAGGTCGCACTCGTCTTCGGTCAGATGAACGAGCCCCCCGGAGCCCGTGCCCGTGTTGCCCTCACTGGCCTGACCATTGCTGAATATTTCCGTGACGAGGAAGGTCAAGACGGTATGTATTCATATAAATTACTCCGGGCAAATTGACTCAGAACCGCACTCACTCACACATATATTAGTGCTTCTCTTTATCGACAACATTTTCCGCTTCACCCAGGCCGGTTCCGAAGTGTCCGCCCTGCTTGGTCGTATTCCCTCCGCCGTCGGTTACCAACCCACTCTCGCCGTCGACATGGGTGGTATGCAGGAACGTATCACAACCACCACCAAGGGCTCCATTACCTCCGTGCAAGCCGTCTACGTGCCCGCTGACGACTTGACTGACCCTGCCCCTGCCACCACCTTCGCCCATCTTGACGCCACCACTGTCTTGTCCCGTGGCATTTCCGAACTGGGTATCTACCCAGCCGTCGACCCTCTCGACTCCAAGTCCCGCATGTTGGACCCACGTATCGTCGGTGATGAGCACTACGCCGTCGCCACCCGCGTGCAGCAGATGTTGCAGGAGTACAAGTCGCTGCAGGACATCATTGCCATTCTTGGTATGGACGAGTTGTCTGAGGCTGACAAGCTGACTGTCGAGCGTGCCCGTAAGCTGCAGAGATTCCTCTCGCAGCCATTCACTGTCGCCCAGGTGTTCACGGGTATTGAGGGTGCCCTTGTTGACCTGAAGGATACCATCCGTTCGTTCAAAGCTATCATCAACGGAGAGGGTGATGACCTTCCTGAGGGTATGTTTTCCTTTTCTTCTTAATCGATAACTTCCTTATTTTCCTCTGCGATATCTCTATGAAAACGACATTTTAACTAACCTGGCCTTTTTTACAGCCGCCTTCTACATGGTTGGTGACTTTGAGTCCGCGCGCGCGAAGGGAGAGAAGATCCTGGCTGAGCTTGAGAAATCATAGATTTGTGTATTGTGATGTGATATAATATTTAAAATTTTTTCTTGTCTTTTCTTTTCTTTTCCCATCCTCCTACTTCCGCTTCCTGCTTTTTCTAGCTTCTGGTAAATTTTTTTGTTCTCACTTTTGTTTCTATTTTTTTTAGATGTGTGTGCGTGTGTAGATTAGGAAAAGAAAAGAAACCAAAAGGAAAAAGTGGATAAAAGAAAAAGAGATGAAGCAGAGAGCATCATCATCCATCCTCTTTGTCATAATGACAATGTCAAACATTAAAACTTTGCGAGTACATGTCAACTCAATATTTTGATATTTTTTTCCATCTTTCTTTTTTGTCCTTTTCTGTTTCTCAATATTTTCGCTCTCATCTCATTTCTGAGCTGACTACCTCCTTTGTTTTTTTCTACTTTTCCTTTGCATGTATATACCTCTGTGTCTTGTGAGGCTACTGAAAGGTTTTTTTTCTTTTTTTTTTTTTTTCCATATCATAAAAATGTTTGTGTGGACCACAATAAGGAATTGAGGAGAAAGAGAGATGAATAAGAGAGAGAAATATATTCAAAATGATTGAGAGAAGAGTTATTAGATGATGAGGCGAAGAAGAGAAGAAAAAAGAATGTGATAATATTTAATATTAAAGTGTAATCATTCTTGTGAACTTTTTTCTTTCTTTCCTTTCCCTTTTTAGAAGTGTGTACGGAGTATATAGATATAGTATATAACAATTTCATAGTAGCAATACATGAATGCTAAAATATCCTTCGAATGAACTGAATAACTCTTTTACCCTCTCACCCCAACCTCGGAAAACTCAATTCCTTTCAATGATGAATGATGGAACTTTATTTAGTTCACGGGAGCTGCCTGCGCTCAACTTCGGCGATTTTACTTTATCTAGCTGAATATCTGTCACTGATCTAATGATCGATATATTCTGTTACATACTATTTGTTTCCCGCATCCACCTCTCTCGAACCGACCGTTTCTAACATTTATCCTGCACCAACAGCAAGAGAGCAATTCCTAACATCCACACCTATTTATACTCAACCAACACCTACCTATCAATTCGTCTCCCCTCCTCCCCCATAGCAAAAACCCTCAGGAAAGCTCAAAAATCAAAGAAAAAGAAGTTTCACCATAAAAACCAGGAGGCCAGAGGAAAGAAGCAAATAACGAAAAGAAATGTCTCTGGCAACCTTACCCGCAGAGCTCCTACTCACCATCGCGTCCTACCTCTTTGCGCCCTCCGACCTCCTCACCCTCCTCGTCCAAAACCGCTACACCTACTCCATCCTCCACTCAACCCTCTACGCCATCGACATCTCCTACTGCGGCTGCTCGGCCCTCCTATGGGCCGCCAGGCACAACCGCGTTGCGACGGCGGAGCACTCACTCGAGCACGGGGCGCATAAGGTTCTCAGCGCCTCTTATCGCAAGGAAAATAATTTGATTACGGGAGGGGTTTTTTGGTCTCCCGGTGATCTGAAGGAGGAGGGGGCTTCTGCCTTTATCCCTGTGTTTTGTGGAATTCCCTGTCCGTATCCTTTTTCCGACTCGCCTTTCTCGCGTGCGGCGAAAGAGGGGAGTGTGGATGTGTTGAGGTTGTTGATTAGGTGGAATGGAGGGATTGTGCCTGGGGTCTTGGAGAGGACGATTTGCCGGGGCAAGCCGACTGGGACCTATGTGCCGCTAATATCGCTGGCAGCGGAGAGGGGCCGCCTGGGTGTTGTGAGGATGTTGTTGGAGGAGTTCGGGAAGGATAAAGGGGTGGATGTGAATGAGGAGGATCAAATCGGAAGAAATTGTTTGGGGAGGGTGGTTGTGGGTACCTCTTTGTTCAGAGGGACGGGTAGAACTGAGGTGGGGGAAGGAGAACAGGAAGGGGAAAGAGGCGAGATTAACAACAAGTGGATAGCTGTCTCCCGTCTGCTGCTGGAGCATGGGGCGGATGTTAACCACAAGGAGGAGAATGGGATGACGCCACTGGCGCTTGCAGTCTATTCCTCGAAAGCTCCAGATGATTGTGAACTTGTTGCGCGACTGTTGTTGGAGAATGGGGCGGACCCGAGTCTGGAGGATAAGCAGGAGAGGACGCCGTTGATGCATGCGGTGGTGAAGCAGGATGTGTGGTTTATTCGATTACAACTGGAATACGCTTCTAATTGTGGCGGCGGTGGTAAAGGGATAGACTTAAACAAGGGAGATTTTAACTACATGACACCATTGAATCATGCCGCCGTGCGCGGCAATGAAGTGATATTTCGCCTCCTTTTGGAACGGGAAGAGATCCATCCGGACGCCGCCGACCCCAATGGGTATACACCGTTGACATGGGCAGTAGTGCGGCAGCACAAAAATATCGTTAAGATGCTGCTCGAGCATCATCGTCGGGTTGATGCGAATCGTCGAACGGAGACTCAGAAGTGGACGACTCCATTCATCGAATCGATTACTTCCCACAAGGATATTCTCCGCTTATTTCTCACTCTTCGCGATCCAGATATTAACGCTCTCAATAGTGACGGGACACCTGTGTTGACGCTGGCGATACAAAATATAAATACGACCAACCACAGAGGCAAGGACATTGTCCAAATGTTGCTTGAGCAGAAGGGCATCATAGCTGACCAGCGTGATAAAGAAGGGATGACGCCGCTTATGCATGCCACAGTGGTTAGTGAATATGATACTGTTGAATCTCTTGTGTTTAGAAGGGATGTGGATATCGATGCTAGAGATCATACAGGGAGGACGCCGCTTTTCCATGTTCGGTCGAGTTCAGAGAGTGAGAAAATAGCCCGTTTGCTGGTAGAGTTTGGCGCGGACATTAATGCGAGAGATAATGAGGGCGATGAGACACCATTTCTGGCTGCATGGCGCCGACGTGATTTCAGTGTCATGGCGCTCCTGCTTGAGGCTGGGGCAAAGCCGACGTGGGTACAGGAGGAAATCGATGACGTGCGTGTTTTCCACCCGACCAAGCTGTTTCGGCTGGCTGTGAAAAATAGACATGCGATGTCAACGGAACAGGCTCTCATTCTGATTACCAAAGGCGGTCTCCCAGACCCTACCACCTCCCCAGATAAGTATGGACGAACGCCGCTGTGCGTTGCTGCTCTGCGTGGGAAAGGATGGCTTGTCGAAGTGTTGCTTGCACATAGCAGGGGCGAATTTGAGCGGACCGCACAACCACTTGCCCTCATTCTGGCTGCGATGAACGGACATGACGGGATCGTTCGCCATTTTTTGTCCGCAGAAGCTAATGGCCCTGACCCTATTCAGGGATACATAGATCTGCTAGAAGCCATGCGCCACGGATACCACGAGGTGGTGAAGATGTTCAACGACATCCGCCATAGTTCTCCTCCTTCGTATCCATCATGGCTGCCATTGTTCATAGCTGCCCTATATGGGCATGAGCATGTTGTGAAAATGTTTATAGCAAGCAAATCGGCCACAATGGCCAGGAAGATGGTCGCCTTGCAGAGTGCGAATATGGAAAAGATCGAGAGTGAGAGTGAGCTGGGAGAAGGGTCTGTTGATTTAACGTTCTTGTGGCTTGCAGCAGACTATGTATGGGCAACTGGCGGGGCTGTATCATCAACTAAATTTGTGAAGTATCAACCGCCCGATCAGTAGACGAAATTAGAGGGTGAGAGCAGGGAGGGTAGGTTAGGCTCCGGCCCTGGAATTTAGAAGGCGAAAGGATCGCATGTCGTGAAGGTCACGGTGCTCCGGATAGCGATATCATCAGAAGCTAAGCTGGCCATTAAATAACACAAGCATAGCAAAAGATAGAATAAGGGCAACAAGGAAATTCCGCAATGCAGTGATTCATATATTTCTAGCACGGGACTACGTACTGATTAGGGTCATTGTAAACATCTGCCACGGATTCTCTCCTGGGATCCGAGAGAAGCTGATAATTGGAGTCATCCGTGCAAGTAGGGGAGCCGTTCATGAATTCAGCCCTGGTGCCTGCCCATGTTTTCTCGTGCGCGCCCCATTTCCCCCATTTCCCTCATTTCCTAGGGTCATGCCATGCCCACAATCCGGTGCAGTTCTACGCTCTAAACTCCCTCAAATAAATACAGCCCACAATCCTTATATACATACAAATGCCCTAATGATTCCTGCATATCCTCTTCACGCCTCGTCCCGCCGAATATTAGGATCAACATCGCAATTGCGCGGCCACCAGTAATCATCATCCAGCGGCTCGCACAGCGAATCAACATCCTCATCATCCAACGACAAAGCTCCGTGCGATTTGCCCTGCTGCTGCTGATGCCGGGCCGCTTCATCCTCTGACGAGTCCCCTGTAAGGTCAATACAAGGGGGGAAAGCCGGTTTCGACGTCGATGAGAACTCACTCTTGATCCGAGCTGGGCAGCATGGGGGGGCGGACGAGGAGGAAGGACCTGATTCATCATCTGAAAGAAGGCTGATGTACTGATGGGTCTTGTCGGAATGTTTGTGAGAAACAAAAATGGAGGGGGAGAGTGAGCCAAGCCGTGAATAGGAAAGAGGGGAGAGAGAAGAGGAATAAGAAGATGAGCGGGAAAATGGGAAAATATTATTATAACGTCTGCCAACATCCTCAGGGACCTTTCGCTTATTCCTCCCACGCTGCTTGTTTTGAGCAATTGCCCCCAGTATCCTAGCATCTAGCTGCTTTTCATCTTCCCTCTCGAGCTGATGGCGGAGATTAAGAGATCTATCAAGCTGTGTGGCCCGGATTTCTGGCAGCAGGGGTGTATGAGGGAGAGCTTCTTTCGGAGTCCCCGCTTGTCTTGCCCATGCTGCAAATGGACCGTCATAGCGCGGACCTTGGCCAACGCCGAATACAGGGTGGCGGCTCAGTTTTCCTGATTCTAACAGCTCTTTGGCTGTTTCAATACCCAATCTGTCATCGTCCTCTGAAGGTCTCTCCTTGCTAGCAGGTTCGTAAGCCATGTTGGTGCCCCCGTGAGAAAATGGGGCGCTAGATAGAACATGTATACTACCACAACTATCTCCAACAAGCAGATTTGTGAAGTCAGGAGAGAAGGCACCGGACATAATTCCCTGGTCGAAGTGTGCGGTATTTTCAACTAGAACATCTTCCGGTGCCCTAAGGATATTCCATTTCTTAAGGACACCATCTGACCCTCCAGTATAAAACTGATCAATGAAGTTGTCCTTCCAGAGGGCTACACGCACCCCAATGTCATGTTTTTCTCGAGAAACGTTTGGATCCTGTTCAGCAATGGGTGCGCCATGGGCAAGCTTATGAAGGATCTGGCCGGGATTGCGGTAATCCCACACGTAAGTAGCCCCATCAGTGCAACTAGCGGTAATATAATTACTATTGGCAGGACAAAATGTGACGTCGTTGATATCCAGAGCTGGGCATTCATAAGTTATGTGAGCCCCCCAGTTGGCCGTCGGCCTAAAAGGGTCATAGACACGGACAAGGGACCGAATCGTTTTCGCACGACCCACGGCACTAACTGAGAGCTCGACAGTGCTGCCAGTTGCAAATATAGGAGCCGTCGGATGCCAAGTCACATCGAACACATTCTGGGAATTAGGCGAGATTATCAGGGGAGAAACATCTGATTGTCCCACCTGCCAAAGAGCAAGATGGCCGTTTCGAAACTTTTCATCCTCCCGAGCAGCAAGACCAGCTACAAGAATATTATCCGCAGATGTTGGGCCCCAGGCTAAGGAAGAAGGTGTCATTGCCACATTTTTGGTTGGATTGCAAGTGAGATCGGTAACTGTGTAGTCCTGACCACCTGTCTGTGTCCAAAGTTTGATATGAGGAGAAGAGTCACATCCCGTTGCAATGAAGCCAGAACGAGATACAGCCATATCCATAACCCTTCCATCGTGTAGTAGGGTATTAACGCATTTAGCACCAGCGTGAGTAGAGACGTCCCATATCTTAACTGTGTTATCGAAACTAGCAGTATACAGAGAGTCGCCACGCCAGCTGACAGCACTGACGGTCATGTATAAGCTAGGGTCTGTGACGTTGCTTGGTACAGGCCGACAGATGCGGTGGTCGGGTAACTCCTTCAGCGAATTGCAAGTTAGGTCCCCAAGAAGAAGATTATTATTTCGATTATAAATCATATTATGCTCATCGGACTGGGCAGCAGCGCCAGCAGCAAATCGAGTTCCGTCGGGGGACCAAGCAAGGACCATCACATCATTCGATGCGCCTTTCCATCGCTTCCAGAGCTCCAAGCCTCTTCTTGATTGGAGTTTCTGATTGATAGGAGTCTTCCGCCGAAATACCCTTTGTCCTAATTCACGTTCTCGAAGTAGAGCGGAGGGCCTCATACAGTCGAAGTCAGGGGACGGGTAATCCGCGTGGGATGAAAGAGCTCGTAAAATGTATGGCGCGGAGGAAACAAGTCCGTTCGCAGCATCATATAGAAAGGCACAAATATGTCGCTTTCTACGATGTTTAAAACAGTTCAGGACTGATATCAAATGCTGAAAGTCGCCATTATTGGTTTGGCGCACTCTCTGCAAGATATCGTGAACATGGTAAACACGATTGGCTGGCTCAGGCAAACCGAGGACTATATGAAGGTAGGATAAGATTTGTCGTATTGTCCCACGTTGGGGCGTTTCATTATCGCATTCCCGCCAGGAACTTTCTCTGTCGCGGTGATGGAGCAGGAACGCGGTTGGGTCATCAGTGATCCTGAGTAAGGACTTGTGAAGAGCATTCAAGTCTGAAATTTTCTGAGCCAGCGCTTTTTGTTGATCGCGGTGAGGATAAAATTTCTGGGTGACTTGGGCAAGCAGATCTGGAATCGCGATATCTGATTCATTTGCAGGTTGCCCTGTCATAACGCGGAATAACCCTTCCATTTCACTCTGGTCAAAGTCTGCATGTATCACTCGTCCGTCGGGGTCATCCAGTTCAAAATGTTCATTTGTGCATCTCTCCCCATACCCAATCCTAGCATGTAGCGAAGAGTACGGAGCATATTCCTCGAATATTTCATCGACTGGGGCGGGCAGAGGTTCCTGTTGAACCTGAAGATAACCAGCGCGATACACTGAGCGAATCAATGAAGCCGCAGGTTCGGGAACCGGGGTGAGCTCCTCATATGGAGATTGGTGCGTTGTGTCATCTCTTGGCGCGTTGACTTCTGAGGGGTTCTCCTGTTCCTCCCCTGCCTCCTCCCCGTCCTCATCTGACTGGTAACCGAGGAAGCCGCGAACTTTAGCGTAGTAATTGACTGGGGCAGCACGGCTTCGCCGAGGACGCCGTACAACAGTAGTATGACTTGCGGAGTCTGATTGGTAGTAGCCGGAGCCGGAGTCAGAATGAGGCATCGCAAGGGCTTTATTTTTCGGCTTTGGTCCAAGATTGTTCTTTGGAGGCTTTTCTGTGTGTTTCGTAGACAACGAAGTCGAACTTGCCGGTAGACCAGGTTTAATAAACTCACTGTCGGTGGGATATGGACGTACGACAACAGCAAGGGAAGAACTGGAAGAAGGGAAGGTGGCCGGTAAACTGGGAGGGTCACTTTGAGTGTTAGAGATATTAGAGGCATTATAATAGGAATTTATGATAGGATTAGTTGTGCTATATTGTTTATTTTCGGGGTTTTGTGCATCATTTTGAGAGTGTGTCGCTGAAACAGGAGGGGTACTTCTCGCTGGTGAATGAAGACGAATGTTTGGTGTTGTTGCTGCTGTTGTAGTATTCTTCACACCACTCGAACTCTGAGGGCCGAGGGACGTGCCTGGAAGCCCTTTATTTGGATGAATGATTCCAGATTGTGTCAGATCGCTTCTTGAGTCTCCAATCTCTTTCGTCTCATAAGAAGGACCCTTTCCATGGGAAGCAGCTTGTTTAACTTGGCCATCAGCAGTCCGCTTCAAGCCATTAGACGGTTGAACGTGCATATAACTTGGTTCAGGACCCGTCCCAGAATCAACCTCGTTCGAAGATTTCGTTGAGCTAGTACAAAGAAACTGATGGAGCAGCGCCTGCGCCTTTTCATCTAGCGATTCACCCTCCAAATCCGCCTCCGGCGAGGAATTTCTCGAAGACTCTGGTTGAGCAGCCGCATTCGGCTGGCTTGCCGAAACGCTGTTCAAAATGTCTGGTGCGACTAATGTTGGTTTTGTAGGGGTATTATGCGTGTCCATTGAAAGCAGGCAGGGGCGGGACTGGGGGTGTGATGCAAACTGTACAGCCCCGGGCTGACGAAACAGCTCACTTTGAGACAGCTGTCGCCTGCCACCTAAACTAATACCTCCTCGTCGCGCTTTTATTGGGGCCTGAAGAACAATTTAACACATACTCATTAGCCGGAAGGCTGAGCGGAAATTTTGGGTGAAAAGTCAAAGAAAGCAATTTGGAGCTATTTACCGCGCGCTTCGCCCCGTTCGGCTGGGGAACATGCTGTGACATCTTCCTTCGCGATTTCAGGCTCCGGATGTAAGAAGGGGACAGTGGGGAAGGTAAATCATCGTTATCAGATCGCGTGTTCAACAGATCAAGGTTCGATTGAAGACGAGACATCGACGAATCTAGCAACGGGATCTAGCATGGAGGTTTCGTCTTGAGGGTCATTCGCATCGTCATAGGGCTCGCAATTGTGGAATGGATGTGATATATTCTTTATACAGCTCGCGAAGTGTGAAACTTGCACGTTGGATGCTGGCACAGAACGACCGATATAAGCGCGTCTCAGTAACCAAAAACGATACACTCTCCCGGTGCAGAAGGCTATCGTCTGGGCAGCCGATAATACGTGAATCCTCCGTAGGTCGCTCCTGTGGCCACGAGATCCAGAGCACTATGCCAAATCCCTTTCCGGTCCGTGGAGAGGGCAGGCGCACAGAATGGGGCGGAGGAGCGCGGCACAAGCGTAGGCGTCACAAACTAAGCGGCCACGCCGGGTGATATATATATAAGGAGGGAGTTCGACGAATTATCACAAGGAGGTAATATTCGGAAAGAGAATATCTAAGTACCATAAAGAATGATGTTAGTAAAGGTGTACTATAGTACTTTTATATATTCAGACACCCTCCCCTCCCCTCCGAGACCACCACTGGCGCGTGAATGTCTGGTACATCTGTGACACCCACACCCAACCCAAGGGCAGATGTCTGATGTAAAGGCAAGAAATAACAAGAAATGATTCTAACATATGATGCCCTACCTCTTGAGTACCCAAAGCCCATCCGATGAAACGAAGGTGGGCGTTACGGACAGAGAAAAAGAACGATTGATTTTGGGTTATCTCAGCAAGCTCAGACGCTTCTCCAGATATCCATTGCTGTTTTAACACTGGATTGATGATTATGTCATGAGCTAACCTCAAATAAGCAATAAGCTAACTCAAATAGTAAAATCAGGTCATATGAGTGATAATATCTTACAAAGCATCTGAGAAGAAATGATTTCTAGTTATTAATAATATAGGAATAATTTACTCAGTACTCTGAGTATGAAAGAGAATTTCAACTTAACTTCATAGATTCATCATTTCTGTATCATTTTAAAAGCTTAGAATAATAATATTCTCATAATATATCTGATTTTTATATTCATATCTCAAGTTCTTAGAATAGAAGTATCATCTTAAAGTTAATCAGTGTGTTTTTAAATATAGAAATTTTAATTCAATTTCTTATATAAAAAAAAGCTCTTAGAAATTCTGAGATTAAAAAATATAATTATTTTCAAGAGTATACATCTATCTTAAATATAGATTTTTTTAAAATATTAAAGAAATATTTCTATTCTTCTTCTCTTTAGCTATAAGCTAAGATGATTTTCAAATCTCAAAGATATATAAGTATATAGTAATAGAAAGTCAAAGTTAAAGAATCTGAAAAATTCTTATAAATCTCAGAAATCTTTATTAAAGATAAAACTATTTCTTCTCAGACTTTCTGATAAGAATTACTCTGAGTATATAACTTGTATTAAAAGTAGATTAGTATTATATCAGATTAGTTAATAATAATGCTGTAACTTATTTAAATTAAGTCAGAGAGTCTAAGCTCACTGAGATAAGATTTTAAAGCGCGCAGAATGTCACAAAGTCACGTGAAGATAATCTGCTAGAACAGAAAGATAGCTGAATTCAGACTGAATATAAAGAGAATGATTTAAAAACACTTAAGATTAAAGAAGTGAGATAAAGATATAATAATAAAATCTCTTTTAAAGCATCTAATTATACTGACTTTGAGGTGTAATTTTTTCATTCACTTTTATACATATAGTTTAAAGGCATTAACTAACTATTATAATGAATATATTACTTATAAAAACAGAATTTTCTTAGCACTCTCTGAAAATTAGTAGTAAAACATTATAAAAAAAATCAAAATATTCATATTTCTCTAAAATTATTCAATTATTATTCAATACATGTCTTTTTTAATTAAATATTATTTAAATACATTATTTTTCTTATCTTTATTATTAATATATTATTTTAACTCAGTGATTTCAGTATTAATAAAATTATTATTATTATTATTATTATTATTCTTTTATTATACTTGTATATAAGCAGAGCTTATAATAAGTTCTTATGTAATATTAAATACAGATTAAGTATTAATTATATAGAAGAAAATACAGGTATTAAGATTATATTAAGATAATAAGAACATAGAAAAATACAAAGAGATGATAATTAAATACATATAATAATAACTTCTCAGATCAGAAATATAGAGTGATTTATTAAAGTAATTTATACATCTCTGTATTTATTAAAAATCTGAGATACTTGAGTTTTGAATTTAATGTATCTTCTGTGAGTTTCAAACTCACATGTCTTGATTTCTGTAAGAAATCCCGCTTCTTGCGGATACTTTATCTCTATTTCTATCTCTTATATAATTAATAGAGTTAGCAGCTCTTGACTACATACAACTATATAGACTGAAGTTTACAAATACTATTTATAACTCAGCTTAAATACTATTATATATTTAATCTCTATATTTTATCTTTCTACTGTAAATACTTCTAGTAATTAACAGTATATATTATATCAAGCTGTTATTATTATTATTATTATTCTTTCATTATACTCATATGTAAGCGGAGCTTATGATGAGTCCTTGTGTGATGTTAAATACAGGTCAAGTGTTAGTTATACAGGAGGAAATACAGGTGTTGAGACCATGCCAAGATAACAAGAACATAGGAAATACAAAGAAGTGACAATTAGATACATGTGATAATAACTTCCCAGCTCAGGAACATAGAGTGATTTTATTGAAGAGTTTGTACACCTCTGTATTTATTAGAAATCTGAGATGCTTGAGTTCCAGATTTAATGTATCCCCTGCGGGTTTCAAACTCACACGCCTTGGTTTCCCACGCCAAGGCACTACTGAGTGACTGCATTAACCATTCAGTCACTGAGACTATATCAAGCTGTAAATATCTGAATAATTATCTGTAAGTACTTATTCTTATATTTCAAGCTCTGTCAGTCAGTAATTATGTATTATAATAAAAAGAACTAGAAACTTATATACTTTAATTTCTATAAACTCTACTATAGATACTCAGAAGTAGTTATCTAAATTATAAATAACTTTTATAAAAGAAGTTTCAGAGAACTTATTAATTACTTATAAGATGTAATTTATTATTATTATTATTATTCTTCAATTATAGATATATGCAGTCAGAGACTATGACATCTATCTAAGAATCTTTAGTTCTCAGAGTTTTTCCTATATCTATAGAGTCAACTATTATACATTTATCAATTTCAGATATGCAAAATCAGAAAATTCCAGCTTAGAATATAAAAACTGTTTATAAATTACAGTATTTCAACATCTTCTGATACTTGGAAATCATTTAAAAATATCATGACAAAGGAAAAGAGAATATAGTCTTAAAGATAGATACATTAAATAGATAGATAGAAAAGAACAGAAGAAAACAAGTACAGTAATGAGAGACTATAACAAAATAAAATTATTAAAAGATAGTATATAACTGTTTTAACAGACTATATCTAATTAATTTTCATCTTTTCATATTCAGATACTTCTGAATTCAGTTATTTTCTTATAGCTGCTTTAGTTTCTAATAGAAAGTCTATTAAGTATTTAATTTCTATCTCAGTTGAGAATAAGAATCTTATATTTAATTGATTTAAATCATACTTCTTCTTTAATCTGACTCTGAGACTATTGTATAATACACAATATATTACAATATACTCAGGATTTTCATTTACATTGCAGAATAAGCACTCTGTTGAATCAAATCTATTGTTAAATCTTTGTATATAGAATTTGAAATAATCATGTTCTAGTTTCAGCTGAATTATAGATAAGAATATTTTCTTTTTACATTTAATTAAACAAGATTTCTACTTTGATTTTGTCTCAAATCTTGAATAATGTATGCTCTTTTTTTATTTCTGTCAGCTTTCATTTCACTTCTTTAAATAAGATTCTTTTATCTTTCTCTTTATAAAAGATCAGAACACTGTTTTTTAAATACATCTGCTTAATTCTGAACTCTTTTTTACAGCTGAATCAGTCAATTCATTGCTATGAATATTCATATAAGTAGACTTGCCGCTAGGACCATGAATTTCACATTTGATCTCATTTAATCTGATTTTATACATTTCTTGACGTGAGTCTCATCAGAATCAAGCCTCAAAAAAATCTGAAAATGAACTATTTCTGAGAGAAATGACATGAAAAATGATCAGATTTAATTCAAGAACAGTGAAATGAGAGTAATTTCTCAGAATAAACTGTGAAAGATAATCATTCTTTTAAAATCAGAATAAGACTGAGACTGAAGATTAAATTCAGTCTCATTCAGTTCATTCAGTGATTGCTTATATAATTAGAATTTGATAATGATTATTGATAATACTTATAAAATAACTAAATACATTCTTGTATAAGTTTATTCTTTACTTTTTTATGAAAACTACACTTCTCTAATATACTGTGATCAGAGGTATTAAACTGTCTGATAATTTTATATTTTATAATTATGAGTTTCTTGATTATTTTTTCTTATAATTGTTCTCAGTAATAGTAATAAAAATCTCAGCTTGAGTTGAACTTTTACTTCATTCTCATCTCTGTTAATAGAATTATCAGAATATCATGTATTATCAGTGTAATAGTTGAATATGTACTCTTAACAATTTTTCATAACTCTAGAATTGATTTGATGTATAAATTTATTGAATTATCTTGAAGATAGTGATCAAATTCAGTTTTATAAGTATATAGTTTTACCTGATTTTCAGTTATAATTAATATATGTAAGTTCTATTTCAAAGTTAGTATTATAGTTCTATATAATATGAAGTATTATCAAAGATTATTACTTACTAGAAAATTATATTTCACTGTCTTTATATCTCTAACATCTACTCATTTAAATCTCTGATAGTTGATATTATAGTAGTCTTAGATTAATTTAATATATAAGTCTTATTTCTTCTCTGTTCAATCTTGAGAAGTGTAGATATTAATTTAATAAGAGAAATCTAGTAGAGCTGCTATAATATAGTACTCTGTAAAAGATTGTTCAGTTTTACTGTAGTAATATATTAGTTTATTTCTTACAGTAATAATAGTCTATGCTATAGCATTATCTCAGACTGAATTTCTTTTTAAGTAATTTAACTGCTTCTTAAGATAAGTAAATAAACTGTTATATACTTATCAGACTGACTGCAGTATTGATATATAAGTAATTAAGACTGTCTTTATTATCTTATAAAACTGAAACAGTAAATCAATTACATATTTCAACTAAGTTCACTTTATATTAGAAAGTTTTAATATCTGAATCTTTTTCTAATCAGAGTGTTACACTCAATAATTAATCATCTAATATAATTGAAGAGTCTGAACAGTTATCTTATATATTAAATTTTACTATATTCTAACATTCTGTATTATATTCAGTGATGTGACTAATTTGTTTATTTATTAAATATCATGAAATTGTTATTATTATTTAGAGAAGATATAAATTATATTAATAATAGTTCAAATCTGTGATATTTAAATTATTAGTCAATCTATTCAAAATTAACAGTAGTGTTATTAAAAAGTATTATTAAAAAGTAATATTAAAAAGTATTATTAAAAAATATTATCTTTTATAAAGTGAATATAAAAGTTACTTAAGTAATTACTTTCATCTTATTCTTATCTCAAGAATCAGTCATCTTATTATTCTTTATCTTAATATTAAGATTCTTTATCGCTCTGATGACTGAATGGTTAAT